TCCTTCATTCTTCTTCTTTGCTTTGGGTTCGCACATCCGTCGCCTGGTCATGTACAGCGTGTAGACAGTAGGCCGAGCAATGGGCGGAGTCAGAGCTTAGCACATTGTTAGGTTCCACTCGACGCCTAATTACTTGCTCCGGGGAGAAGCGGCGAGGCTTTGAGAATTCTTGCGCGCCTCCTTTGTGGGTACGAGATCTCCATGAGTGCACAATTTGAAGCATCTCACTCAGCCTTTACGGTTATCTGATCTCATTAATTGAGGTCTACCTTTCTCACCTACAATTTCATTATCGTTTACAACAACATCAGGTTGCTCTGCCTTCGGATCTTCAATTCAGTCCACCCCTTGTGATAAATTTATACGACACAAGAGCGTTCAAGCGGCAACCTCTTATTGGCGTTTGTCATATCATGGACTTTGCAAAATATACTCGCATACCCTCAAAAAAGGTAAGATCTAAAGGAAAGAACGATGCTGGTACTGTAAACGTTATATAGAAAGTGGAAGAAGAAAAGTCCGATTGGGATGAATATGAAAAGCACATGGAAGAGGAAGACGGTGCATTGGCAGCTACTCCGCTTATACCATCGCTTCGTAAAGAAGATATGCCGAAATTGGATTGGTGGAGCAAGTATTACGCTTCGGATGGCCATCACGAGAAAGCGCCTGGATTTGAAGAGTAAGACTGTTAGATAGCTTCAACATTTCAGAGAAAAAAATAAATCTCAGTTATGATTTAGATCAGGGATAGAATATCTAACGATCTTCAAGGAGCCACTTGAATGTGTTAACAACTATAATGGTTTCCAGGATTTTTTGGATACTTTCACCTTTGTGAAAAGCTCAATGGTAGATTGTAGATAGATAGATGAATGAGCAAGCTACTATTAGAAAAAATGCTATTATTGATCTTTGTAGGGAAATTTCGACGATCCTGAAGAAAAGGAGAAAACTGGTGAACTCAAAGGAAAAGTATTTATCACACGTCTTACAGAGGACGATGGTGATGATGGTAAGAATAAATGTAACTTAATATGCCCAAAAATAATTCTCACAATCCTGTGTTTTAGCAATTCTTGAGCCACCTGGAGTTGAGTTTCTCGGCACGGTGAAGTGCCTTTTACGAGCATACATAATCGAAGCAAAAGGGTTAGTATCTCAACGAAAAAATGGCATGTGTGATCCATATATTGTAGTGAAATGTGGGAAACAAAAGGTTTGCCATCTCACGATTCATAACAACACATCCTACCAAGCGACGATTTTCATCCTAGGTTAATTTGAAGAAGAACTACAGACCAGATACGTTAGAACCTATATTTGGAGAACTCGTTGAAATGGAAATTACCATTCCACTTGAAAAGGATTTAGTAGTGTCAATTATGGACAGAAGGAAACTGCTTTCTGGTGGGTTATAAAAGGCTATATTATGGACAATACAAGAACAAGCGTGATTTTAAAATCGCTTCTTTCTCAATATCATTTAAGTAAAAAAGAGCACGGTTATTTAATAAAGACTTCATAATGAGATAATCTGTATAAATGAATTACTCATTATTTTTCGATCAAATAAAAATTTGCACTTTGAACCGGATTCACATGAAGGTCGTCAAAGGTCTAAAACCTCGGATATCTTACAGCTTCACATTTTAGATGATGAAATCGGCACAACTCGCATAGATCTTGAAAATCGACTTCTAACAAAA